AGAACTGCACCGATTTCACAAACAAATACATCGAAGATCATTAAAATGCGAACTTTCTGATCGCACCTTCTTAATAGGAAAAAAAAACATCTTGCAAAGTTATTTAATTTTACTTCATATTTATTATATGATGTTGATGTTCTATAACTCAATAACACAAATTTCAGTGCTCAGTGCGTGCTTGCATCTGATTTATCCAGGTGAACTTGAGATTAAGCTGGAAGGTCTGCTTCATATCTTGATCTTTTCCTGATATTGACACAGATGGACGACTTCAAACTAGTATACTTACATGAGAATAAAGATGATTTCAACTTTCAAATTGTCGACTTCCCATTTCTCAGTAGTAAAATACCCTTTGGCTAATCGTGTGACGTTTACATATTTTAATTGATACGTATGGATTGTGCATGTTCGTACTATACGGACTTCATTAGCAAGATTGTGCTCATTACACAAACCAACAGATTTATGTGAAAGAACGATTAAAATTGACCCTAAATACGTTTACAGTCATCATCCCGAATTGACTAATCGATACGATATGTCCGTGGTCTCAATTCACTAACGACCGACAAGTTTTTGCAGTCTTGGATTTAGATTCCAGAATAGCCGTCTAATCTGTAGTTTTACCTATTGTGATATTTGACTGGATTTGATTGGCGGGTAATGCATGTATAGCAGGAGACACTTACCCTGACGACGCATCCGGGTCTCTCTTCTTATGGAATTCACGTGATTCCTCATGGTTTTGATTTTTACCTTGATTTTTTCTTCTTAATCGATGTATAAGATTTGAACATCTATAAACTACTGTTGCCTCAAAATAAAGAGATGGATCTTTGCACTTTTTAAGCGATTAATAAAATTATAACGTTATGAATTTTTAATGTGGGATAGGAGGTCCCATCATTTAAGGAGGGTGTTTGCTCCAGCCTAATTTACGTGATATTTTACGATTCGAAAAACTTTTTAAAAAGGTCCCCCCCCCCCCCACCCCTCCCCCCCACAAAAAAAAGAGGAACCCAGCAATCTCGATCCCCTTAAATGCGATTGCCTACATTCTCTAACGAATAAATACATTCAACTAACACATTTAATCAGTTAAAATCATTAAGATAAAAAAAAATAAAACACTTGTCAAGTTGACACCTAGAGAGCATAATACGGCCTTCGATCATAGACAAGTGTCTAAATAGTATGTCAAACTCTAAATCGTGACGAGTCTACAAAAGCAAAAACAAAAAAACCACATGTCACACAAAATACCAGATAATATACAAGGAAATAATTCTGCTGGTTTACTCTTAGAGGATAATAAACAAGAAATAGATTTGATTATTAATAATGATTATCTCTCTTACCATGCTTTTTTAAACATCTTTTTTTTTTATTCATACATGTCATATGATAATAATAGCGTTTACTACCAAATACTCAGTTAACATAGTATTATTATGTGTTAACTTGAAACAAAGAAGGCGGAAGATACGAAAGGGACATTCACAACTCTATTCTCGAGATAAGTTGACAACGCCAAGGCAAAACAGAAAAACAACGAAAAGAAAAACAAGTTCACAAAACACTACAAAGAAAACTTTAAAAAAAAACTGAGCAGCATAAACAAAAATAAACAAAAGTATGTGATTCACCAAAATACTATGCTGATCTAAAGCTGTTCCAAAAATATTTGTGAAGTTGTTTAGGACAACTTTCATTTCCCATTTGTTTTTTTTTCTTTCTTTTCAACATGTAGGACAAGGATATTTTCCTTTTAGCACATGTTCATGTAATGTTCTACAGTTTTATACAGTTTCAATTTCAATTTCCGTCGAGTCGTTCAGGAAGAATGATACGGACAAGGCACTCATGGGCACTATCACAGACAGACGGACGGAGATGATTGGCATATACTCCAAAAATGTCTGGTTTCTATTATCTGAGATAATCATATTCGTGGTATTCATTTTCAAACTAAGTAAAATTATATGCTATATAATTTATTCATTTATTAATTTTAGTCATGATTCGTATGTAGTTTTTTTTTATTTAAATTCATACATTTCCATTCGAAACGATCTTATTTCTCACACGTGTTCACCTTAACTTTTATTGATTATGTTTAAAAAGATCACTTGATCGACTATTATAGTTTATCTCAAACATGTCAAATTTCATATACGGGTATGTTTCTCGTTTCTCGTTTTTATATAGATTAGACCGTTGGTTTTTCCGTTTGAATGGTTTTACACTAGTAATTTTTTGGGGCCCTTTATATCTTGTGTTCGGTGTGTGCCAAAGCTCCGTGTTAAAGGCCGTACCTTGACCTATAATGGTTTACTTTTATAAATTGTAACTTGGATGGAGAGTTGTCTCATTGGCACTCATACCACATCTTCCTATATCTATTCAACACAAAAACGGACAGAAACTTATCTTTAAATGTATATGGATAATATCACTTTTTGTAATTTTATCGAAACGATCACTACCTACTGAAACGATAAGGTCACCATATGACCTTGACAATAAGCGAACCATATACCATATAGTAAGCTATAACATGATATAGCTTACTAGGCATTTGAACAACTCTTTGCTCGAGAAAAAATATTTCCTTGTGATAAAAGGGAAAACTTAATATTTTATTTACACGAGTACCATTCCGATTACAAATTATTTTGAAACCATTACTATAATATTTACAGTACCTGATGCGAATTACGAAAATATATGATCGAGGCCAAACTATTAGTATTTGAAAATCCAAACGTTGAAGAGATGATGAAAACACGATATAAAATGATTTCCCATTTTTTACAACGGAGCAAATTTAAAAAAAATGATATCAATATTTGCATGCACTTTAGGAAGTACTGGCTAATGGGCTGATGATTCCCTAGGGACGGACAATCCATCAGCAGACGTATGGACACAGTGGACGAAATGCTCCTTTACCTGATGCCTATTTCAACAATAAATGTCTCTTAAGGGGCAACCTGCATCGTGGTTTGGGCTGTTGTTCGTGTTAATGGCCTTGCTGTCATTTAGAGATGAATGACAGTAATACAAATGGCGTTCCTTTACTTTCTGTTTAATTATGTGCGTATTTTGTGAAATGGATACTTAAACTCGCCAAAATCTTAATGTGCCTGTCCCAAGTCAGGAGCCTGTAATTCAATGTTTGTCGTTTGTTGCTGTATATCATACTTGTTTTTCGTTTCTTGTTTTGTACATAAATCAGGCCGTTAGTTTTCTCGTTTGAATTGTTTCTGATTTGTCAATTCAGGGCCTTTATATTTTATAGTATGGGTTTTGCTGATTGTTGAATGATTTACACTGGCCTGTAGTTGTTAAAATAGAAAATTGTTATGTAAAATGCGAGTAAGTGACCATTTCTTGGAAATAGAGAGGGGTAGATATAAAAGAATTCAAAGAGAAAATAGAATATGTAAACATTGTAATATAAATGAGGTTGAAGATGAAACCCACTTTTTCTTAAAATGTAAAATTAATAAATCTTTACGTAATCAGCTTGAGAAAATTATAAATAATATATGTCCAGAATACTTTAAATTGTCTGAAACAGATAGATTACAATTACTTCTATCTTCATTTGATATTATGCAGCTTACTGTTCCGTCCATTAAAAAATCATTTGCACTGAGGTGAGTGGACATAACACCAGCATAAATATTACTGTTTACCACTTTATATATGATGTTTAATATGTTATAACTTAAGTTTTGCATTGTGTATATATTTGTATTGTATTGTTTATATATGCCTTCAACCCCTAAGGGTATAAATGTGCATTTCATTAATAAACAAGTTAACCTCTTCGTCATTTGGTCTCTTTTGGAGAGTTGTCCAATTGGCAATCATAACAGCTATATGACCACTTCTTCTTACTTTAATGATATTCCATACCCATCTTTTTTCATTTCAAACAATATCGTTTTGCGAATTGTATTTTTTCTAAGCAATGTTACCATGCCGAAGATGGTGGCCAAGATAAGATTAGAAACATACAAATTTGAACAGTATTCATTCAATCAGCTGTGAGTTATTATACATATCATTTTTTTCTAAAAAAAAGTACAGATGGTTCGCTTTAACGGATTCACCTCCATTAGGAAAGCTCAAACCCAGAAATGTGAACGCTAAGGATGTTTTAACACTTGAGTACTTAAGGAGCTATATAACCAACGGGGGCCTAAACAGAGCAAATCTACATGAGGGTCTGGATGGGGTGTCCAGAAAAAAGAAAAATAGCAAAAATAAATAATGAACAGAGAAAAGTGAGAAGAAAAAAAAAGAATAGAGAATAATGGCCGTGGGGGGGGGGGGGGGGGGGGGGGGGAGGAATTATCATTGAAAAAAAGAATAAGGTGATAAGATACTGATTACAAAAGTGTAAGATTTAGAAAATAAAGAAATCATGTAATTACAGAAAAAGACAATAGTAAAATCAGATTCATGGTGAGAAATTTACCGATTGAGCGTTATTTTTAAAAATCGAGAAAAATGCCATATTAAAATTTAAAGAATATAGAAATTAAGGACCCCCCCCCCCCCCCCCATTCGGACCCTCATACATTTATTTTAGTAAAAAAGTAGGAGCTATTAGTTTTTTTTTAAAAAAAATTTTCAGTATTGTACCAGGATCAGCACTTTATATAATTTATGACAAATTAAAAGGATACGGAAGTGATTGAACCAACAACAACAAAAAAATAGGTTAATATAGTTATCAAGGGTATTAGGTGCTTATTGTGCGATTCACATTTGCACTTCCGCAGCACCTGAGATGACCCCCGGTTTTTGGTGGAGTTCGTGTTGCTCAGTCTTTAAATTTCAATGTTCGGTTTTGTATACTGTCTTTTGGTCTTTTTTTTCTTTTTTAGCCATGGCGTTGTCAGTTTATTTTCGATTTATGAGTTTGAATGTTTCTTTGGTAGCTTTCGCCTCTCTTTTATAAGTTCCGATTAAAACAAAAATAAAAAGTAATTCATTTACTAGCACATTACATTAATTTTTATGTTCTTCTTTGAAGAAAATTAACATAATTGTTGATTATTATTACGTTCCCATCGTTAAACGTTATCCAGATCCTGTCACTGTCATCATTAGCTACTGATAACGGACGTAACAATTCCTTAGAGTCCATTTTCAAAAGTCTTTCTAAAACACCATCTGCTAACAGAATGTGTATTGCATGATTAGAATAGTCCGAAATGATTATATTCCCTTTACTGTTACAGCAAACGTCACGTGGGTCGAATTCACGATCAACGGAAGTTCCAATGTAACCACCTTTTGGTTGGCAACTCTTATCGAAAATAAAAACCTGTCCTTTGGTCTCTTTGATTCGATCAACGACAATTAGATCTTCGTTAATATTTTCTGTGCATCTATACGGAAAAGTAAAGTGTGTTTTACCACCAGGAAATTCAATTTTGCACACTCTTTCTCCCAAATTTGTCATTTTTGCTACCATTGTCCGTCCTCTTAACTCTGGAATAAACGATGATTTATCAGCTAAACAAATCCAGACTTCTCCCGATTTTGTGGGACATATTCCAAAAGGATGAAAAGGTGAAACATGAAATCTGTGCTCAAGTTCACCGTTCTCTCGCAATACTTTAATACTACATTTTTCTATGTCTGTTACCCAGGCATTTCTAAGCTTAGTTGTATATATTTTCTCTATTTTTCTGTGTTTTTCATTTTGAATTTCTGTTATAATTACACCGTTATGTGAAATTAAGACAAAATTCCCACCCGTATCTATAGGATACAACCACGCCCTGTCCGTTCCGAGAGGTGCTATTCCGATACGTTTCTTCTCCCATTTGAATCGCTGTTTGATATCAAATTTTTCATGTTCTTCAGTCGTCCAATCGGAATCCATATCTAGTCCATCATTCAAAGTTCCAATAATTCTCCTGAGCAATCCTTTTCCTGGCATATCGTGGGGAGATATGAACTCTGGGATTTGTGGTAGAAGTTGGGGATTGTCTTTTGTATCGAGTTCTCCCAACTGTTGATTTACTCTGACTCCAACACGAACAGTTTCTAAAGCAGAGTTATACAATGGTAGCCGTACACAACATAGTTGTATTTGTTCAACTTCAGTCAAAGTTGTTCTGCATTCGTCAATAATCTTATCTAAAATTTCACTTACTTTTTCGTGTCTTTTCCTGCAGTCTTCCTTTAGGGAAGCTTCTATTACCTTCAAATAATCAATTACTTCTTTTATCCTTTTATATATATTTTTCGTGTTTTTAGTCCGTTCTGATGAGTTTCGTACGAGCATAGATTCATAGTCCCAAAGTTTCCGATCCGTATAAGTTTTTACTTTGTCAAGTCTATTTAGAAAATACGGTACACTTTCTTTGATGTCTTTACTTTTCGTTTCAATTGTAATAAGTGAATTATGATCGGAATGTTCTACTTGACACAGACTGCATATGAGTTGTCCACAACAAAAATATTCCGGTCTTTGTCCTCTGTGATTGCTACATCTCACTGTGCCTAATCGTGCAGACAAATGACCAGCCATTCTTTTTAGGAATAGTATATACAAATGTTACTTACGCAGTATGTTCATTTATGCAGGCTAAATATATGTATTTGTGTATTGAATTCAATAAACGTAAATAGATAAGTAAATATATATATATAAATGTGAACTTTAAATGACAAGTCGAAACAAGCGAAGATTCGATCATCAGATATTTAAAAATAGTTTACCAACAGTAAATATCAATACGTTAATCGTTCATTCAAGAATAAACTGGAGGCTCCAATCAAGATATACCTGGAATCTGGTTATGAATCTTGTCTATGCGGCAAATGAATTATTGCACGGACTTGGCTGCATGAATAGCACTAACAAAGCAGTGAGACGGGTTTCAGTGTAGCACGTTCAGTGAGAGAGATTGATCTCGTTTAAAAGAATATAACCAATTTTACGATGAGTTAACAATATTGAAACATTAAAATTAAAATTTGAATTGTGACTCAATTTCTTTTTTTTTTTTAATTTAGATGTTATTCCAGAGGAGGGGCTGGAAAATATACGGAAAAGACACCTTATACGTATACTTATGTATCAGCGTATTTACCCATCCCTGGTTTTCAAATGTTTAGGTTTGAGCGTTCCTGATGAAAATAAACCCAGAAAAGCGCTTCGAACGTACGAAATTTCCATTTCCTAGACTGGGTCTGTACCGCTGCTAGTCGACTGTTGGGCCCGAGCATATTAGCAGCTCAGTAGGCAGTGCTTTTCAGTACTGATATGATTTGTAATATTTATAAATTAAGAAATTATTAAGAAACTTAAGTTCCAACTCCCTGAGCCAAAGTTGACCTTAGATTAATTTGGCTATTCTGCCTAGGTTTTTTTTTTTATTCTTATAGCTCCTGTCATCCAATTTACGCATTCTGATTTTCAAATGTTTATGTTTGAGCGTTCTCGATGAAGGTAAAAACCGAAAAGGGCTTCGGACGCACAAAATTTGTAGAGTTTTTGTTTCACTTTATATACGGACTTAACATACGAAATGACCATATCAATTATAGAATTAACAGTACCAGTAAATGGGTAATGTTATCGATTTGTCAAATTTTGCAAACTACAACTTTAAGTTGTCGAGTCTTAACTGAAAATCGATTAAGAGCAAATGCAACTTTTTTTTTAACACAAGGCTCTAAAAAGAGATAAACATTTACATAAAAAGCACGTAATAAAATGTCATCATCTTTATCGTCAAATCCTAATTTCTCCAATACAAATTCACACCACGGGTGCTCTCAATTATAATCCTTGTTTCTTTAGTTGTTTCGTTGACGATTTTTTAGATAAGGAAATAGTGCATCCTTGAATTCAGAAGTGTACAAAGCCACATGCGGGGTATTTGCTGTGTTTGACACGGAGTGGCGGCTTCGAAGCGAAGAAAAACTATGTGGGTAAATAAAAATTTAACTTTTTCTTTTTTGAGAAAATTGTTGGTGTCGAATCGTATATTGCACGGAAGGTAGCGACCAGTCGAAAAATACCAATCTCTCTCAATCGAAAGCAGACGTTCCCAGTACTCCGTTTCTTCAAACGCTTCTCCATTTAGTAGTCACAGATTCTGAGATTTTGAAAGCAATTTTCTGGATTTTTAGAAACCTATTTCCGGATATTTTTATGGAAATGAAATCATGTTATAGTAAACTTCTTTGTTTGTTAAATTACTTTTGCCTCGAAATGAATGTGTGGTACAGGGCGTTAGATTTCCTTTATATCTCGAAGGTATACAGTGAACAAAAAAACTATAATCGAATAAGAATTATCGTTTACATTATTTAATATGTAAACTTTGAGCTTTTGCAGACCATTGATAATCCCTTATTCGTATTTTAAAGACAGGAACGGAATGCGGGATGGGTAGGAAATCACAGTAGATGATAAAGTTTGCTTATATAAATTTTGATACCTAATATCGGGAAACTCTTATTTTTAGTTTCTGAGACAATTACAATGAAAATTCCATACATGTCTATCATAATTAAGAATATATAAGCATATTATAAGATTTGACCTTTTTGTCGAGAACTTATATTAAAACTAGATGTGTCGGAACGGACACGAATGGCCCGGTCGCGAAAAATGCTTGAAGCCATTTTTAGTAGTGGAAATTTGAGAATGAAAGTCTGTACATTGTATAACTTTTTACGAAATTTTAAGTGTCCAAAGCCCATAATTTTGGCACAAATCAGTGGAGCGGAACCAGACTTAAGCTCAATATGTAACTCATCATAGTACGCTCACATACTAAACATCAGCTCAATATGTGAAGGCGTTTAGAAAAAAGTCTGTATAACTATTATTATCACAACATTTTCAAAGTCCAAAGCCCGTAAATAATGTCAGCAAAAAACATCGGAGCTAACCCAAACGTGAACTCTATCTGTAACTCATCATAGCAAACTCACATACTAAAAATATGCTCAATATGTGAAGGTGTTTAGAAAAAAAAAGTCCGTATAACAGTTGTTTTCTCAAAATGTTCAAAGTGCAAAGCCCTCTGTTTCTGCAAAAATCAGCTGAACGGGACAAAACTTAAACTCAACCTGTAACTCATCACAGTAGCCGACTCACATACTATAAATTAGCTCAATATGTATAAAGGTGTTTATAAAAAAAAGTCTGTATAACTGCTATTTTAATGAAATTTTCAAAGTCCAAAGCCCGTAATTTCGGCAAAAATCAGCGGAGCGGAACCAAACTTAAACTTGATCTGTAACTCATCATAGTAGACTCACATTCTAAAAATCAGCTCAATATGAGAAGGCATTTAGAAAAAAAAGTCCGTATAACTGTTCGTTGCTGAAAGACGGAATGACGAATAAGGGTAAAACTATATGGCCCTGACAACTTTGTTGCGGGACCATAACAATTGGGACTTTAGACATTCTTCTTCCTTTTTTTTTTATAAAAATATTTGTATGTATATATATCTTTATCTTTCTTTATTGTTCTTATATGTTCATATGATAAATAATAATATGACATCATATATAGTATATCGTTTTATTCCAAGGAAGCTATATGTATAAATATTATTAACTAACCGAACTATGGTATATCACGAGTGCAGGGTAACAGAATTGTCACATGGGCATGTTTGATCAGGCTATAATGAGTAATAGGAGAAATGGTTTCCGTTTATTAGTAAGAGTTCCAACAGCTAAATTATACCCGAAGTAGGGAGGTATACTTCGTTAATTTTGTCCTTTCGTGTGTCTTTCAGTATGTTCGTCTCCTCAAATTTTCGAAAATCACAAATCATCTTTTCTTGTTTATTTTTTATATTTTAGCACAACGTTATTCTCTTTTCTTCATTTTTTGCTTTTTATGCCCCCGCCGCTAGGCGAAGAGGGCTTTAAGTGTTACCCTTAACCGTCCGTCCTTCCGTCTTTCAGTCCGTCCCCATTTTCATTTCCGCACTATAACAGAGAGGCGAAGGATACCAAAGGGACATTTAAACTCATAAGTCGAAAATAAACTGACAATGCCATGGCGAAAAGACAAACAGACAAACAACAGTACACAAAACACAACAACTTATTTGTTTTCCTCATCCAAATTTAATGAAACTCATACACAATGCTAAGAACCAAAAGTCGCAGCTAGACTGAGTTTGAATTGGGGCAGTGAGTCAGTTACCGTTCTAGAATTATATCCTTTATAACTTGAAAAATTGCGATTTTTTTTTGGTTTCCACCCTCTAACTTAAGTTTTCCTCATGCCAACTTTATGAAACTCATACACTATGCTAAGAATCAAAACAATCAGACAGAGTTTAGATTTGGGCAGTGAGTCATTTACTGTTCTAGAGTCATGCCCCTATCTAACTTGAAAAATTGCATATTTTTCGTTTCCGCACTCTGACTTAAGTTTATCTCATCTAAAGTTTATGAAACTCATACACAATGCTTAGCATAATGCGGGGACATTCGTGTCCTCAGACACTTTCTTTTATTTCTCTATCATTACCCCCACCTCAATACTTTCTAATCGTTATATGTTAGCACCCCTCTATTCTTTATTCTTTATTTTCTTTGTCTTTTCAGAAGATATCAATTGCATATATCAAAGGGCGTAATTCACTTAATCAGAGACCCAGTCCACAATGGAATCCATATAAACTACACTTTTATCTAACGAGTGCTGTTTTAGTTTTTTTTATTGTTTTATTTCTTTCAGTCAGACCTGTGTATCGGAGAAACACTTCGTTTCTTCATTTTTAAATTTTACACAAAAGAATGTACATGTGCTACAATAGAGGATGGTTTGGAAATCCCCCTTCCGTCAATTCTCAAATGTGCAACCGAAAAATTTCTAAAGTGAAAAATATCAAAATACTTAATGTTGAACTTCGAGAATCAAGAAACATTTATAATTCGAGCAGTTACAAAAAAAAACTTTTATTTTCACTTTTTGGTTACCTTGAAAGCATCTTCTATCGCCAGTTTAGGACTATGTGTTCGACTCTATTAATATTGCAATTGAACCATGCATCAAGATAAGATCGTCTTGAACATGCATAAAATATTTATCATTGCAGGTTAAGCAACCAACAATCAATCAATCAAGATTATTACAAGAAATTTGGTATTCTTGTTCAAGTGGAGTTTATTATCTCATTGGAGTTGTCTCAGGTTTAGCAGGAGGTTCACCAATTTGCATCATAAGTACCATGGTATATTCAAAATATTGGACAGTAACTTCTTATCCTTCCTGAGCTCAAATCAAATTTATCATTCTATTCTTTTCATTTGGCAGCAATGTTGTCATGTCCTTCAATGTATGGACGCTTGTTGTCCATTTTCATCTTTTAAAGATTTTAACTTTTCTACCCTAATATAGCTTCTCAAAAGCAAGCATTTTACCACTAACAGACACTTTAACATGCAATTACTGCTGACTTCCAAACATTTTGTTTAAAACTACATGTATATATTACTAATTGTTTATTAATTTACGACTTCAATTATCCATTGTTAAAAATATTCAAAAGGGATACACCCTTTGTTTTAGCTGAATTATTTCCGCAACTGGCACGCCATAATGCATTTACACTACATTTTATTTATACATATAT